AGCGGCCATTTTAGTGCAGCATGAATAGCTCGGTTGTAACATTCCCGATATTCTTTTATGTAGCTCCTAATTGTCGCGACCTTGCCTGGAATTGAGAACCTCATTGCTTAGCAACGTATTGAGGTGATTGCACTCAGATAATCTAGGATCAATCTTCCAAGGATGACATTGTACGTGGTCGGGCAGTCCACCACTAAGAATTCTGTCATCACTGTCTTGATCTTGAGTTATGCCCCTAAAGTCATGGGCAAATCGATTGTTCCCTTAGGGACTAGGTTGTCCCCGGTGAATCCATAGAGTAGCAATGGACACGCCTTTAGGTCTCTCTCTGTGAACCTCATTTCTCGAAAAACTCCCAAGAAGATGATGTTCACTGCACTACTATTATCAACCATTACCCTGAGTACTCAGGCGTTGCCGATCCTTGCTGTGATCACAATCGCATCATGGTTATGGCAAGGAGATTTTTCACACTCATCCATAGTGAATCCTATCACCTCGCTCTCTTGTTTGGATCGCTTTGGCGACTTCTGTTCAGAACTCATTACTTGGGGCACCAAGTCTGTTCTAGCCTCTCGTGCATATTGCTTGCGAGAACGCTTTAAGCTTCCCACAATGTCGGGACCCCCATAGATCATACCTACCAAGACCTCATTGTTGGTCGGGGCTTACTAGACTTGATTATTCTACTCGTCTGTATTTTTGCGAGCTAGCACCTCCTTGACAAATTCTTTTAGGTGGCCCCTTCAGATCAAATCTTCGTTGGTGTCTTTTAAAGCCTAACACTCATTGGTGTTGTGCCTGATGTCCCGGGGGTATCAATAATATTTCTACCGATCTTTTCTGCCTGAAGCCCCCTCAACCTTTTTGGAGTGGGCAGTCTCTTAGCCTTATGGGAGACTTTATATATGTGAGCTATGTCTTGAGTGAGGGGGGTGTACTCTGCGTATCACGGAAAAGGTTGCCTTTACCCGCGATTTTTTATTTTTTACCTTTTATGGAATCTGTTCTGGTCCCTATCATTGCAATCTTGACCCCTTCATTTATCCATTTGGTGATCTTGTCACTTGTCTAGGGCTCTTCGTGGCGAGCTTCTAGCTAGGGCCGCTAGTGAGCTTTCCACTTGTTGATGTTTACTAGCCATTTGGTCTAACTTTGTTAAGCTCACATGGTCTTCACTTTGGAGTTCTTTTCATCGCTCTGTCTATGACCTGATACCCGTGATAAGTAAAGTCTGAATTGACTTTTCAGGTTCATCCATGACCTTTGCTTGTTCATTCTGGAACCTCGTTAGATACAAGGTCAATGTTTCATCTCTCTTCTGATGAATATTGCTCAAGTAGCTGAGTGGCATTACTAACTGTCTCCTCGCTTGGAATTGTTATAGGTACAATGAGGAGAACAATTGCCAAGAGCTAATCGAGTTCACCTTGAGCCTTTTGTTCCACCTCTTGGCATCCCTTACCAATGTGACCGCGAAGCAGTGGTACTCTACCAAGTCACAGACCTAGTGTAGTTTCATCAGGTCGTTGAAAGTGTCAAGATGGTCTCTAGGAATTCCTTTCCCATCGAACTTGCTTTTTGGCACCTTGAATCCCTAAAGAAGCGGGGCCTAGCGAACTTCTTCTATGAATGGAGAGCTTACTATCTCTTCTGCCGCATTGTTCTAGTGGGCTCTTAGATCGTCGAGCATTCTCTGCACTCGATCTAAGTCTTCGTTATGGGGATTGACTTAGCTAGCTCTGTTCAACCTCACTTCAAGCAGATGAGTTCGCAAGTCTGTCACTTGTAAGCCCCCTCCATTGTGCGCATTGACGCGCGAAGTCAATTCATGATGGCTTGGCTGGTAGGTGTTATCAAGCTCATCAGTACGTTGCTCAGAACATTGGTTATAACCGGAACGTCGGTCATTGCCAGATTGGCTTGCATTACTCATCTCGCAAACTTGCGATGTTTAAGCATGCCTTTGGCATGGGTTAAAACCGGCACACTGACGTTGGGGATATCGTTGAGCAGGTTAAGTATCCCTCTAGTGACCATTGCCTTCATCTTCCCTCACGGGCTCTTTGTTTGGTCGCCTCCCAAGGATAGTTTGCCCTCTGGATTCTCGTTCATGAGAAACATGTGCTCGGCGATGCTAAGATTGCCGACTGTTCCTCAGTGCTAACAAACCAAATTGGTCACTGTCTGAAATCCGACCTGTTAGGGTAACATCGTCGAAGCACGACCGGTCCAGGTCTTAAGGGGCTGACTGATGGTTTCTCAATTTAGCCACGTTCTGTTGCATCACCTGTGCAACCATCATTTTGATCATCTCCATCAGTTGACCATTTTCGGGATTCGACGTCCCTGCCCCCTGCTAGTTTGCGACCTGCTAACCTAGTGGCAATGGTGGTCAACGCCCAACGACGTCTTGATGCACCTCCTGGTGGGTGGTTTCCACATTTTCATGGTTTCTAGTGGTGGTTTTTGATCTTGTACGAACCATTGTGGGCCTTGAGTATTCGGGTCACTGGGATTGTTTACTGAAAATTTTGAGATTTTGGCGAAGGTCCTTCTAGCGTCAAAATGTTGATACAAGATTTGCACCAACTAAAGCGATCTGATTGACCTTAACGAAATCGGAACTAATGTCTGCATGATTATGGGTAACCAGCAATGTTATGAATGAAAAGCAGTAAAATAATGACATAAAGAGTTTCTAAATTGGTTCGGCGAGTTAAACTCTTGAGTCTATGTCCACTATTTTTGTATTTGCTGTGAGAGCTTACAATAATATTCGTAGAACAATTTGCTAACCTCTTTCTTATCATTGGTGGGGGTTTATATATAGATTTTGTACAAAGGAAATAGCAAAAATAAAGGGATTACAATTAAGATTGAAATGCAACTTAGATGTTCTCGCGATTGAGCACTGAGATTGCGCTATGATTGTTGTCGATCTGATCCTTTCCAAGATATTTTGGATCTGAAGTTATCTGTGAGCTGGTTGAACAACTGTAAGGATTGGTCGCGACTAGCTTGTGCTAGGTTGAGCTACAACTCAACGAGCTTATGCTGGGTCAGACAATCAATTGAGTCGAACTGATTGTAGATCGAGCTATAACCTCACAATCCTCCAAGCTCGATGGAAAAATCACACACAACAAATCCTATCTAAATACACATTTATTTCAAAATTCAAAATTCTCTTCAAAATACAATACTATTCTATTCAACTCAAAATATTTAGATTATTTTTAAACCCCTATGTTTGTTAATTGAACTAAACACCTCAAAGAATAAAAGTTTATAAATTGACAAAAACATCCCCACCCACCCATATTTGCTAGATTCCAGCTACCCCCACTGAAAGGTGGCCGAAATCTGCCATAATGGTGCACTATCGATTGGATATGCCCGGTAGTGCGCCGATTTGGCCTTTTTTGGCCAAATCTATGGTTGCTAGATCTGGCCGTTGATGACGGCCATATCTTGATCGTCGTTTGGCTGTCAACGATGGCCAGATCTGGCCTTTTTCGGCCATGTCCAAGGTGGATTTAGACAGAAAAGGTCATATCGGTGCACTAGTGGCCATATCTAGCTGGTAGTGTGCCATTACGGTAGATTCTAGCCACCCTTTTAGCCGTGGTGGCTAGAATCTCGCAAATGTGGGTGGGTGAGGGTGTTTTTGTCAATTTATAAACTTTTATTGTTGGGAATGTTTAGTTAAATTAACAAACCTATAGGGTTAAAAATAATCTAAATATTTTCAGAAAATGCTATTAAAAAATTTACAAAAAAATTCTCAGAATACTACTCAACTCAACTTTTTCCAAATGACTATTCTATAAACTCCCAAAATAGTGAACCAAACGGAGTTAAGTAAAAAATCGAATTTGTTTCAATTAGCCCAGCCCAACAACCATACTTATAAGGGAACGAAAAAAAGCAATAATTTGTAAGCTATAAGGGTGGGGTAATGTTATACTAAGGGGGCGTTTGATTCAAGGAATGTTGGATTACTAGAAAATTAGATTATCTTAAAGATTATTGGGAATCTTTAGGAAAATGTATTTGGTTAATTGATGGGTATGTTATATTAATATGTTTTGTTGGGAGGAATGAATTGATCGGTATGTTATTTAAATTACTGAATTGTCTTCTAATTAAATATTATTATTATATTATTTTTTAATATTGATTATTATTTGGATTCTTATAACCCCCCTGCATTTAAAAACTTAGCAAAAACAACCCCATAATAAAAGTTTGGAAAATCAACAAAGCACCCCACCAACCCAGCCACTATCGACCGTCGGCAACCACTGCAGGTCGTCGGCAACCTAACAGCACATGGAAGGTAGGAAATGGCCTTCGTGGGCCATATGGCCATTTTCGGCCAGAGATCTGGCAGGAAATGGCTAGACGTGACAGATCTGGCCGTTGACGACCAAATCGATGACAAATTTGGCCATTTCTGGCTAGATATCTGGCTGGAAATGACCATATTGGCACACGACGATCATTTTCGGTCTTCTGTGCGCCGTTTTGGCTGCAGCAGGTTGCGGCGGTGGTTGTCGGCGGCAGGTGGGTGGGGGTGGTGGCTTGGGTGGGCTTCAATTTGTTTTGAATTCAACGGTAATTTTGTCCAAAAAGTTAATTAATTGGGGTAAAATTGTAAAAACTATATTCATGTAAATAAATTTAAAAATAAGGGCATTATTGTCCTAAAATTTTATTAATAAGGGATAGAATTGTAACAAAAAAAAATAACCCTGGTAATATTAGAATACCTAAGAAAATAGAGGTAATCAGATTATCTTCAATATTACCAATAATAATCAATATTGGTATTTGAAAATTACCTGTATTTTGATAACCTAACATGATAATTAAGTAATATAAGATGATTTAACCCCAGTGATCTCACCTAACCCCCCAACCAAACGCCCCTGAAGATTAGGATGTTATAAAATTATCCCATCTTTTACCATTATACATTTATACTTGTCTATGAAAGTGATGAAATTTTAAAACAAAAAAATGGAGCAAGAGAAGGAGAAGAACAAAGGGAGCGAGGAGAGATGGAGAGGAGCCATTGCTAACCTGACGGAGATGTCTTCCAATTTGGAGTCTCTCCAAAAACTGCTTCTCAAAAAAGCTGTTTTTGTCGATGAAGAGACCTTCACCAAAGCCTCTCTCAGCTCTGAACAAGCCAGAACCATCAAAGTCGGTATACTAAATTTCGATTCATTTGTTATTGTTATGATTCATGAATTTTTTGATCTGGGTTTTTATACAATTATGTTTAGAATAGGTCTTTTGGTTTATTTAGTGCAATATTATTATATTTTTATCTATATATTTAATATTTTTAAGTGCTTTTGAATTTGTTTGTTTGATTCATTTAAGTTGATTCTTGGTGTTTTAGCTGAGGTTAAGTGAGGTATCTGCTATTATCAGTTTAATTAAGTTAACTGTTTGAACTTGATCTTACAAATTATATTGGCTGGTCCTTAGTTTGTGTGTGAATTTCATAGATGGTGATTTCTTTTTTCTCGTTTTTCATTTTCTTTTGGTCTTATCTGTTCTTTTGATTAGTTTGATTTGTATGTGGGTAAGTTGGTTTGATTTACTAGATGCTGCAACTCCATTATAGATTATCCTTGATGTCGTGTTTTAGTTTTACTGAATTTATATATATATATATATTTTTTTTCGTGTAATTGGGACGAGAGTGAGATTCTCGTGTACTTCTTTTGATGCAGTTACTCTAATTCTCCATAGATCCATGGATAAGAATATTTGTCCATCATTTATATATTTATTTGATTGTGATTTTCTCATTTTTCATTTTCTTTTTGGCTATGATGATGTGTGATTGTTTTACAGCTTGTGTATGTCTTCTTTTGATTAGTTTGATTTGTGTGTCGGTAAGTTGGTTTGACTGATTAGATGCTGCAAATCCATTATAGATGATTCTTGATGTTGTGTGTTTTAGTTTTATTTAGTTTATATATTTATTTATTTTCATTTCACAGCGACAAGAGTGAGATTCTTGTGTACTTTTGGTGCAGGTAGTCTAATTCTTCATAGATCTGTGGATAAGAATATGTTTCCATTATTTATAGATTTATCGGATACCGATTTTTTTCTTTTCCTACTTTTATTTATTTATTTTTTTCTGCTCTTAACAATTTACAATCTGTGATTTTCATATTTGGTACATCTAGGCGATAGGTTGGTATCTTTCTAGATTCTTCTAGCTATATGGTATTTGTGAAGTGCTATGAGATGCATAATCACTCTGGTGCTTGTCTTCATCCTTCTTTTTGATAGGTTTGATTTGTGGGCTTTGAAGTAAGATTGTCTAGTTCTTTATTTGATTGATCTGCTCGAAGTATGAGTTCATCCTTAAACCATCTTCTTTGTTAACTAGTTGAGTTAATACTTTTATTTCATTGTAGTGTATGAAATACTTTGCTGTTGCTGATCCTGTGATTTACACCTAGTAATGATTAATTGGTTTAATGCAATGGCAAATTGGTGAAAATAAGCATAACATTGCACCCTTTTTTTTTTTTTTTTTTTTTTTGAGGACATAAAAATACATCTTAGGATTGAAACCAGATGTAAACTGTACTTTTGAGGCAGATACTGTATTTCAAATAACTTTTCCTGCTAGCATCCAAAGGTACTGTCCAGAAAGTACAAAGATATTTAATGTTAGCTATCTTTTGCATATAGGTTCTGGAGCAAAGAGTAGAGACTCTGGAAAGAGAGCTAGATGCTGCCATTACAGCTGCTGCTCATGCTCGTTCAGAGAAAAGACACGCTGAGGCAGCACAAAAAGCTGCTGAATTACGTGCACAAGAGATAACAAGAGAGCTTGAGAATACCACAAGTATGTGTAGTCTTGAATTCTTATTTCTTTTGAAAAATAAATCTTGATTAAAGATTAGGGAAGAAATCTAGCACTAATGTTTTAGAATTGTTCCCCCTGTTTGGTACACTTTTCAAATCTTATCCTATCCTATTGTAAAGAGTAAAAACATGTTTGTTTCTCTATTCACTGAATTCAATTCAAAATCCAATCATATTCTATTCAGCTCAAAACATACAATTACTTTTAACAATAAAAATTTATAAATTAACAAAGACACCCCCACCCACCCAAGGCACTGTTGGCTACCAGCAACCACCGCCGGCCACGGGCATCAGAATGACGCACGATCGACTGGATCTAGCTGATCGTGTGCTAATTTAGTTGTTTCTAGCTAAATGCACAGTGGATATGGCTAGAAAAGACCAGATTGACGCACAACCGGCCAGATCCAGTCGGTCGTGAGCCATTCCGGTGATTGTCGGCCACTATCCGGCGGTGGTGGCCGGCTGCTGGCAGTCGGTTGGGTGGGTAAGGGTGTTTTTGTTAATTTATAAACTTTTTTTTGGGGGAGAGGGGGTGTCTAGCTAAATTAACAAATGTAGGGGGTTAAAAAATAATCTAAATAACTTTAGAAAATGTACCAAATACATTCTCAGAATCCTATCTTTTTTTATTTAATCCTATTCAGAATAGTTTTTCAGAATATTATATTTCAAATGATATACCAAACAGGCTTGTTATTATTTGCTGCTTTTTGTTTGGGTTTACAGCTCATAAATTGTTGGGGAATAAGCACATTTAGGCATAGAATCAAATTAAATCTGGTTGAATAAAATCTAATTTTAATTCTGTCATGCAATTTGTATAATGAAAAGCATTGGAGTAATTTGCTTTTAGTATAAATTATTGAACAAGAGGTATGCTCTTGTATGTTAAAAGAACAGGATGACATTTGAATCAAAAAGAATTTATTCATTGTCCAAAAGAACACTGGAGAACGTCCTTGGGAGTGCTTCATCAAGTTATTTTCAACAAGGGAAAATTAATGCCTCATCAATGGCTTGGTTATAGAATAAGTACATTGATGAATACCCTTCTGCCTAGTCTCACTCTAATGCCAACCAAGAACACAAATAACGCAACAATAGACCCATAATGCACATAAACCAGTCACGGCAAGAATGGACTTTTGTTTGGCTTAATGATGCCAGTTACTAACATCTCCTTAACTAGGTGCTCAATCTCATTTTTATGAAAATAGGGATACCAATATAGCCGAATGTTGGGTGGTCTACTGCCAAGTTCCAATTTGATGGTGTGGTCATGGACTGTTTCTAGTGGGAGCCATGAGGTGGTTTCAAATAAGGCTTCATGACGTTGTAACAGTTTTTGGACCCTTAAATCCCCCACTTCCTTCTCTTCTGACTGCGATTGTAGACGATTGAACTCAATCCAATACCTTGGACCTTCCGATTGCAATGTTTTCAACAGCCCTTTAAGTGACACCATGGTCTTGTTTAAGGATGGATCTCCCTTAAGAGTGATCACTTCACCAGCCAAACTGAATTTCATTACCACAATTAGTCATAGTGTTTTCAACCAAGCCACTACCGAAATGACGTCAGCTCCACTCATCTCAAACCGAAAGAGATTTTGAATAATGGTGATACTCTGCAAATTAAGCTCAACGTCTTTACATTCCCCATCACATCTGACGTGATACACATCGCCCACTCTGACCTTGAAAGCCCTAGTACGAATTACCGAAATATTCAACTCCTCTGCCACTTGCCGACGAATGAATTATGGGAGGCTCTTGCTTTCGACTAAAACGATCACCTCCTTTCCCCCACTATTCCTTCTCAACTTCAACATCTTTGGCCCATCAATTCCCACAACTGAGCTAATCGAAAGTTCAGCTTCGTGCGGTTTGAGGTTTTCTTCGTTCACGGCTCCCTCCTTAGATTCCTCCATGTCGTCTCTGTCTTCTTGTTCTTCCACCAACAATACTTGGAATTGCCTCTCCCCACATCTATGGCCTAGTGTAAACTTAACATCACAACGATAACACAAACCCCTTTCTCTCTTCTTCTGAATTTTGGCTTCTGTCAACCTTCTGTAGGGAAAGTCTTGCTGGAAGGTGTTTACACGGGAGCTGTGTTTTGGCGTCAACCCAAAACTTGAAATATTTTCGGTGGAGTTTCGTCTAAAGGAAGTTGGCGAGTTTCTTTGGCTAAGGATAGTGTTGGGTTGGGTCATATGGGTATGGGTTTGGGTTGGGATTTAGTAGTTTCTTCGGGCTTGTAAAAACTTGGGTTTTGGTGCGGCCCACTAAAATTTCCCCCCACTTTTCCCATTCGGCCCAAACCAGATCTGGCCTCTTCCCGTTGGGCCAGGAGAGAAACTTTGGTCAAGGAGTCAATTTGGCCCAAAAGGTTGGGCTATTGCAACTTTATTTCCACGTTAATCTCTGACTTTAACCCATCTAGGAAGGCCGCCATCAAAACATCCTCCCTCTCATCCACCGTCAGCGCTGCCACCTCCTCGAAACGACGGTGATACTCCAACACAGATCCCACTTGCTTCGTCGACATGATCATCTCCAAGGGACTAACTTCTTGGGCACTGCTAAACCTTTGTAGAAGCACCACCTTAAAAGAAGGCCAAGCTACCATCAGTGTCCTGGATTTTGTCCACTAAAACCAGTGCAAGGCTTCATCCTCCATATATAACACCATGGCTGAGACCTTGTTTTCATCTGCTATCTGATTGATGCAAAAATAACACTCAACCTGAAATATCCACCCGTAGGGATCGTTGCCAGAAAATATCGGTTACTCCAGCCTTCATCCTCACCATTCTCTCCTGTTTCCCCCGTCACCATGATGGTATCTTTCATTCTCGTAGGGTGGTGGTGCTGGTGGTGCATGTGCATGTGCATGTGCATGTGCATTTCCCAGATGGTTTCCTCTATCGTGTTGGTTCCCTATTACCGAATGTTCTCCTTCTTCCAACACCACTTGTCTCCGCCGAGCCTTGTCTTATTCGTCCCTACGCCTCATCCAGTTCTGCATTTCAGCCAGGATTTCCCTCATGGACGTAACAGTTTCATTAAGTCTGGTTATGTCTCTCTTGATGTTGTCAACTCTACCCTCCATTCTAGTGCTAACCATACCTTAGAGAGCTTAAGCTCTGATACCAGTGATGAATACCCTTCTGCCCAGTCCCAGTCTCACTCTAACACCAACCAAGAACACAAATAACCCAATAACAGCCCCACAATGCACATAAACCAGTCACAGCAAGAACAACAGCAAACTAATAACACAGTAACGAGAGAAAAAGGCTATTTCATTGAGATTCCAGAATTTACAAGATAACAAAAAGAGATGAAAAGGAGGCAACACCCAGCTGGTCTTCGAGGGCCAACAACCTCCCCAAACCTTTTACCCAAAATCAGAGAATGATCCTATCACCACACCCCTTCATCCTTTATTCTGTCACCCTAGATTCTAACTAACAACCTAGCCACCTGTAACAAACAACCCAGGGCACCTGTAACAAACAACCCAGGCCTCCTGTAACCATATTAATTTCCCTTTTTGCCCCCTTTGCCCTTGCGTGTGGACCTCAAGGTGATATCGGGTCCATCATACATCCTCTTTAGAAGCCAAGATCTAAAACTTTGGTGCATTTAAGACAAAAACATCCATTTAGTTTAGGGATAACTGTCCTTGGTGGTTAGTTTAATCATTTTCTTTGGTTTAATAGTTTATATTGATTGTTACTGCTAGGAACGTTGCGGTAATTTATCGTTTTTTTGGAGTGGAAGTCTTTTGGGTCTTACTTGGGTCTATCATGAGTTATTAGCTCTTTACAAGGCATTTTATTTTAAAATTCATCAGAAACTAACTTCCTCTGCATGGGAGGTTTTTGACTAAAAGAGGGGATGGTTACGAAACTTCAGTGGAGTTTTCTAATGAGTTTTATAAATTCTGGTCGAAGCTTCTATAAGATTTTGAAAGTATAGGATAGGTCTCCAAACCCCTGTTGTGTATATGAAAGTAATGGGGCATCCATTCAGAATCCTTACCAACACACACACACACACACACACACACACACACACAGAGCACTAGAAAAGTAAAATCACTGAAGACATATATGGTAATAGAACTTGAAAAACACAGATATAGGAATGAGTCTGGCAACTATGTTGTTGGAAAACTATTTCTAACAAACTGCAACTATATTTCAAAATTATTGTGCAAATTTGAATTTAAAGTACTTTCTTTATTCTTTCAAAACCTTTAACTTTTTCAGATAACTGATTTTGGATGCTCTTTTCGTTTTTTCGATTGAGTAAGATTTTCCTGATAACCACTGGCTCCCAGCCACAAGGTAACTTAAAATTCTTACATAATCTAAACTAACAAATGCTGAGGCAAAGGGGTAGTGCCCAAGGCCAGAGTATTACTTGAAGCAGGAAGTTGTATGTAATTTAAGACCCAAAAGACTAAAACATTGTAAAATTTTTTAATTTTAGAATAATTTAACAAGGGGATGGTGCCATTTGTTATTTACTTAATTCTCTCCTTTGTCTTGAAAGCTTTGGCTGTAATCCCTTTTACGTTTCAATGCTGATTGAACTGAGGACCAATACTAGTTTTTTCTGATTCAGATTTCAAAATATTCGTCTTAGTTCACCTCTCCCTCTACAAATTCATGCCTTGTAAGTTCTTTCATTATCACTTGGCTTTTCTCTGCACAAACCAGAATCGAAAAACACTACAAAATACAAGCCCGCAAAAATTTCACTTCCATGTAACTCAAATACCTAATCTTGAATATGAGGATAAAAACCAAAATGCAAGAAGATCTTTCTGAATATTTAATTGTACCGATAAATCTCCCTTCAAATCTCCGGTTTACTTGCATAGCAACCTTCTTTTGCTGTGGGAATGATTTTTAGAAGAGCAGTTTTTCTAGTTTCAAGAAGAGATGTCATTCAGAAGGTTTGTTTTTTAAGGAATGCCAACATCTCTTTCTACCATTTGTCCCTTACATGTTTTCTATTTAAATGAAATTTCCCTGGTTCTGATCTTGTTTCTCATATCCATTGTGGAATACCTCGTTAATCTATTTCTGATTTGGAAAATGAAAAAAGCAAGAGAAAATAAAAACAATGGGGCCTACAGGTCTATAGATTTCTCTGGTTTAGAATTATAGAGAGCTTAATTATTAACTTGTAAGTTTGAATATTAACTTAATAGTATTAAGGAGTTTGATATATATATTTGAGTTGCTTTCTTATTTCTAATAATCTGATAGAGCGGAAATGGGAGATAAGTAAACTAACACATTGTTTCTTGAGAAATAAAATTGAAAATTCTATAAGCATTTATATGGTAAGCTCATAAAAATTTGGAATAACAGTCCTACTTATTTAAACTAGTCATAGTCACAAAAGGTAACAAATTGAAGGAAATCTAGCTTTGTTAAACTAAACTCATATTAAAGAGAACAAATACCAAAACATTGAATAAAAGAAATCTTACCTTAGTAATGAAATAAATATATCAACTTTAATTTCCAAAACTAGTTGCACCTAATTTTCCTTCACCATTATCCTTACTTTTTCCATCTCTCGTGCCTTTGGCTTTGTCTAATCTCAATATTGGATAATAATTCTTTTCAGAATTCTAAACTCCCTTGTTCTAAAACTCTTTAACGGTTTCTAAATATGACTACAATCAGGAACATAAAAATCCATAAAATGCTGTTCAAGGGGACTCTGTAGCCCGAATACAACAACTACATACTTGACTATTTCAGTATGTTACTTCTTCAACTTGTATCATTTTGTGAGTTATTCTAAAGTCCCTAAATTCTTCAGAGTTTGGTCACAGGAATAGTCTAAAATGTAAAGTTATTAGACATCATTCTAAGTCCCTAAATTCTTCAACTTGTATCATTTTGTGAGAAGTTGATGTTGCTGAGTTTTCATCAGAGCAAACTGCAAGCGCACTAGCTGTTTTTGATGTCATCTCTGTTTGTGGTTTCTTTATATTTGTTGATTATGCCATGTGAACTGAATTATCATATTTCCAATATTATAATTTATTCTCCACAAAATTCTTGCATTCAAATCCCTTACATATCACGATCAAATTTCAGTCAACTTAAATCTTGTCTCAATCTCTTGTAGAATCCATTAGACCTCTAACTCAAATCCATGTTACACATGAGGAGGCCTGCTAGACTTGATTATAAATGTTCGACTTCTTTACAGGGTATTATAGTCTGGTTAACCAAATGGTCTTTTGCCCAAATCCCTCAATGGTATGAATTAAATTATTTTTAAGTTGTGTTTGTTTTTATAGTTTTATTGTAGTATAATAGTGTTCAATTCATGCGCAAGTGCTCATGAGAGCGTATGTTGAAGCTTAAATATAATTGTATAGTCTTTTTCTATTAGCTTTAGGTCAAGTGTCTTTTAACTGGAAGATTTAAAATTGTGATCGAGTGTTTGATTGCTTGAAAACCCAAGATGTCCAATTCCCATTTTTTCCCCCTATTTTTATGAGTTTCTACAATCGTTCCTATTATTTCCACTAAATAGCCCCAAACATCAAACCTTTCACCTCAAATCATCCCCAATCAGTATGAAACACTTTCATCTAAGTGTACCACCCTAAAGTCCAAGTCGTGTCCGTTTTCTATCTGTCTTGGTGGCTTTTTGACCTGATTCCAGTCGTGTTGAATTGAACATCCTGCAGCACTATGAGTTATACTTGTGCAAAATGCCTTCGATTTAGGATTTCATGGATGGTGCATCTTACTTGCTGACTATGATTTTGAAAAACGCTTTTAGGAACAATTTACCACTGGGTATCTAAACATCATTTTCTGTACTTCTTGGCTATTCTTATTTGTCTATAAACTGTGTAAATCAAAGTTGGAGTCTATCACAAACTTTATCTAACAAATATTATTCTTGGCTGCAGAGGTTTTTGAATTGCACACAGAAGAGTTGCGTGCAAAGCAAGAAGAAATCTCAAAGCGTGATAATGAAATTAAGCTCCTGGAAGCTATAATTCAGACACTTGGTGGAAGAGAGTCGTTCTCAAGTGGGTAAACAATTGTCTTGTACTTTGTTGCTATATATATATATATATATATATATATATTCGTTGTAATATTAAATATAATGGATACATTGGGATACCAGGACTCTTCACTGTAATGAATCACTTAACTGATAATATTATATAGCAAATATGATAAATTAGAGTAGACTAATTGATTCAAAGCTCTCTCAATAAACTGAACACATTCAAAATCCATTTTGATTGGAGTTAACTAATTCAGTGGGAGGTTTTTGACTAAAAGAGGGGATGGTTACGAAACTTCAGTGGAGTTTTCTAATGAGTTTTATAAATTCTGGTCGAAGCTTCTATAAGATTTTGAAAGTATAGGATAGGTCTCCAAACCCCTGTTGTGTATATGAAAGTAATGGGGCATCCATTCAGAATCCTTACCAACACACACACACACACACACACACACACACACACACAGAGCACTAGAAAAGTAAAATCACTGAAGACATATATGGTAATAGAACTTGAAAAACACAGATATAGGAATGAGTCTAGCAAATATGTTGTTGGAAAACTATTTCTAACAAACTGCAACTATATTTCAAAATTATTGTGCAAATTTGAATTTAAAGTACTTTCTTTATTCTTTCAAAACCTTTAACTTTTTCAGATAACTGATTTTGGATGCTCTTTTCGTTTTTTCGATTGAGTAAGATTTTCCTGATAACCACTGGCTCCCAGCCACAAGGTAACTTAAAATTCTTACATAATCTAAACTAACAAATGCTGAGGCAAAGGGGTAGTGCCCAAGGCCAGAGTATTACTTGAAGCAGGAAGTTGTATGTAATTTAAGACCCAAAAGACTAAAACATTGTAAAATTTTTTAATTTTAGAATAATTTAACAAGGGGATGGTGCCATTTGTTATTTACTTAATTCTCTCCTTTGTCTTGAAAGCTTTGGCTGTAATCCCTTTTACGTTTCAATGCTGATTGAACTGAGGACCAATACTAGTTTTTTCTGATTCAGATTTCAAAATATTCGTCTTAGTTCACCTCTCCCTCTACAAATTCATGCCTTGTAAGTTCTTTCATTATCACTTGGCTTTTCTCTGCACAAACCAGAATCGAAAAACACTACAAAATACAAGCCCGCAAAAATTTCACTTCCATGTAACTCAAATACCTAATCTTGAATATGAGGATAAAAACCAAAATGCAAGAAGATCTTTCTGAATATTTAATTGTACCGATAAATCTCCCTTCAAATCTCCGGTTTACTTGCATAGCAACCTTCTTTTGCTGTGGGAATGATTTTTAGAAGAGCAGTTTTTCTAGTTTCAAGAAGAGATGTCATTCAGAAGGTTTGTTTTTTAAGGAATGCCAACATCTCTTTCTACCATTTGTCCCTTACATGTTTTCTATTTAAATGAAATTTCCCTGGTTCTGATCTTGTTTCTCATATCCATTGTGGAATACCTCGTTAATCTATTTCTGATTTGGAAAATGAAAAAAGCAAGAGAAAATAAAAACAATGGGGCCTACAGGTCTATAGATTTCTCTGGTTTAGAATTATAGAGAGCTTAATTATTAACTTGTAAGTTTGAATATTAACTTAATAGTATTAAGGAGTTTGATATATATATTTGAGTTGCTTTCTTATTTCTAATAATCTGATAGAGCGGAAATGGGAGATAAGTAAACTAACACATTGTTTCTTGAGAAATAAAATTGAAAATTCTATAAGCATTTATATGGTAAGCTCATAAAAATTTGGAATAACAGTCCTACTTATTTAAACTAGTCATAGTCACAAAAGGTAACAAATTGAAGGAAATCTAGCTTTGTTAAACTAAACTCATATTAAAGAGAACAAATACCAAAACATTGAATAAAAGAAATCTTACCTTAGTAATGAAATAAATATATCAACTTTAATTTCCAAAACTAGTTGCTCCTAATTTTCCTTCACCATTATCCTTACTTTTGCCATCTCTCGTGCCTTTGGCTTTGTCTAATCTCAATATTGGATAATAATTCTTTTCAGAATTCTAAACTCCCTTGTTCTAAAACTCTTTAACGGTTTCTAAATATGACTACAATCAGGAACATAAAAATCCATAAAATGCTGTTCAAGGGGACTCTGTAGCCCGAATACAACAACTACATACTTGACTATTTCAGTATGTTACTTCTTCAACTTGTATCATTTTGTGAGTTATTCTAAAGTCCCTAAATTCTTCAGAGTTTGGTCACAGGAATAGTCTAAAATGTAAAGTTATTAGACATCATTCTAAGTCCCTAAATTCTTCAACTTGTATCATTTTGTGAGAAGTTGATGTTGCTGAGTTTTCATCAGAGCAAACTGCAAGCGCACTAGCTGTTTTTGATGTCATCTCTGTTTGTGGTTTCTTTATATTTGTTGATTATGCCATGGGAACTGAATTATCATTTTTCCAATATTATAATTTATTCTCCACAAAATTCTTGCATTCAAATCCCTTACATATCACTATCAAATCTCAGTCAACTTAAATCTTGTCTCAATCTATTGTAGAATCCATTAGACCTCTAACTCAAATCCATGTTACACATGAGGAGGCCTGCTAGACTTGATTATAAATGTTCGACTTCTTTACAGGGTATTATAGTCTGGTTAACCAAATGGTCTTTTGCCCAAATCCCTCAATGGTATGAATTAAATTATTTTTAAGTTGTGTTTGTTTTTATAGTTTTATTGTAGTATAATAGTGTTCAATTCATGCGCAAGTGCTCATGAGAGCGTATGTTGAAGCTTAAATATAATTGTATAGTCTTTTTCTATTAGCTTTAGGTCAAGTGTCTTTTAACTGGAAGATTTAAAATTGTGATCGAGTGTTTGATTGCTTGAAAACCCAAGATGTCCAATTCCCATTTTTTCCCCCTATTTTTATGAGTTTCTACAATCGTTCCTATTATTTCCACTAAATAGCCCCAAACATCAAACCTTTCACCTCAAATCATCCCCAATCAGTATGAAACACTTTCATCTAAGTGTACCACCCTAAAGTCCAAGTCGTGTCCGTTTTCTATCTGTCTTGGTGGCTTTTTGACCTGATTCCAGTCGTGTTGAATTGAACATCCTGCAGCACTATGAGTTATACTTGTGCAAAATGCCTTCGATTTAGGATTTCATGAATGGTGCATCTTACTTGCTGACTATGATTTTGAAAAATGCTTTTAGGAACAATTTACCGCTGGGTATCTAAACATCATTTTCTGTACTTCTTGGCTATTCTTATTTGTCTATAAACTGTGTAAATCAAAGTTGGAGTCTATCACAAACTTTATCTAACAAATATTATTCTTGGCTGCAGAGGTTTTTGAATTGCACACAGAAGAGTTGCGTGCAAAGCAAGAAGAAATCTCAAAGCGTGATAATGAAATTAAGCTCCTGGAAGCTATAATTCAGACACTTGGTGGAAGAGAGTCGTTCTCAAGTGGGTAAACAATTGTCTTGTACTTTGTTGCTATATATATATATATATATATATATATTCGTTGTAATATTAAATATAATGGATACATTGGGATACCAGGACTCTTCACTGTAATGAATCACTTAACTGATAATATTATATAGCAAATATGATAAATTAGAGTAGACTAATTGATTCAAAGCTCTCTCAATAAACTGAACACATTCAAAATCCATTTTGATTGGAGTTAACTAATTCAATCAAAGTTATTTATCAAAATCTAGCCAATGGGGAGCTCAAGCTGACCCTAACTCAACATCATCTGTTTCTTCTTCTCTGTCCTGATCCTGCTGAATAAACAAAGAAGCAATAACCGATCGAAGACCTAATTGCCTTTATGATAAAGGCAAAGGGAACCATAGATGAGGGAAACACCATTGCAGCCAATAGTGCTACGAATATTGAGAATGAGAAGTGGTTGGACTTTTAAATTTTGGTAGTTGAACCGAAAAACTGATAGGTAGATAAATGGGAATAAAAGAAAGGATGATGGTAAAAATGAAATAACCCATGACTGCGGTGGGCAACATCGAGAAATGTTGAAAAAGGTAGATAAGTAGAGGTGCAAGGAGAAGATTTAAATTTAGCTCACACCTCATTTTTCCAAGACTGAATATTGGCTCTTCTCGTCTTATAGAAAAAGAAAATTAACTTTGCATTCTCTTTGCGGTGAAAAATATGTACTAAAGTATTATAATGAAGGTGGGCAGGGTTCTCTTTGCATTCTCTTAATATTGAAGGATATTATGCAAGATTTTGAAATAAAAAAAATAACATAAATGTTGAAAAACAAACATAAAAGCAAAATCAAGACTTTCTGTAGATGTTAAAACTTTTTAGATTGACAATTTGTGATTAAAAGATTTTTTTATATTTTTAATTTATCACAATCCAATTATTTAGTATCTTAGTTTGTGTTGTTTAATAGTTGAGAAAATGTTACACAACATAATCAAGTGATGTTTTTTTTTTTGCCTGAAAGTTGAACACATCTGTTATGTGAATATGTCTTAGTATACAAGTCTAATTAATATATAAAGTCATGATTTGTTAAAAATAAAATTAATCTAATAATAAATTGGGGATTTAAATCTTTTATATGATGAGAAGCAGAAAATAATTTATCAGTTGATGAAATAAATTTATCAAAACTTTTAATAAATAGGAGAAGGAATTTTATTGAAATGCTCTTAAGGGCTTTTATGCAAAATTGAATCAAAATGGTTCCATTGGAGGGGAGTTTTTTAGTAGATTGGAAGGCTCTGGTCGTGCCCAACAAAGAACTGAATTTGAAATCATGAAGAACGTAAAAACGTCAAAAAGAGTGGAAATATTAGAAAAAATTTGTACACTTATTAAACCAAAATGTCCAATTAGGTACACCCCAAACGAACCTAATTCAAAGAAACATTTCGGCCTCTTTGGATACCCACATGATTGCTCCATTGAAAAAGAGGAAGAGGACTTACTCTTGTTTACCTTACCTTTTTGTTATAGCCTATTGCCTGTGGAGAATACCAGATCTTGTCTACAAGAGTGTCTTGGACTTTTATTCAATGGGCTTACCTATAAAGGTGCCTTAGGCTTACATTCAAAGAATGTCAGGAGCTTACCTTTGAGAGTATTTTGGGCTTACATTCAAAGATTGTCATGGGCCAACCTTTGAGAGTAACTTGGGTTTACATTTGGAAAATATCATAGGCTTACTTTTGAGAGTGTCTTGAGCTTACCTGTGAAGATAACATGGGCTTATATGTGGATAATTTCATGGGCTTTAGCAGAAGTCCCAAGAAGCCGTTATTTGGGTCTAAAGTGGAGCCTTGAAGTTTAACTTGTGGCTTTAGACCTAAATTGGGCCTTAATTGTAGTATTGGACGTTATATGGGCTATGTACCTTACACGGCATGGCTTTTTCAAGTAGCGTTGTCACGAAAATGGGCTGAAAATTGCTGGTATATTGTTGTTCAAGTGTTTCCCACTAGTTTCAATACTCATGAACTAAGTTTTTTTTTTTTTTTTTTTTTTTTTTAAATGATGAGTCTGATGTAGGATATATTTTCCTAAATTAGGGATTTATATTATTTCTAATTTTAATTAGGATTTTAGTTAATTAGGAAGGTTTGCTATAGTTATTTTATAATTCATTGTTCTAACAGTATTTGAATTTTCTTATTTTTTGTTCTAATAATATTAAGATTAGTTTAGTATAAATAAATTTGTTATCCTACATACAACAATAAAATGGCTCATTAATAAAATTTCTTAATGTTTCATTTTGGAGTTAACGTCTTCTTGTGGATTTGAGGGTTACTCTTCGTGGATTCAAGCCATATGCTAGAGCGTGTCTATCTATGCTCTACAATGTCATACAGCTCATCATGTTGTCTAAACTAGGTGTAAATTTCTTTTTATATATTGAGAAAAATTTATATTCAACCCTCCTCAAAATAGAATCATGGTTTTAATATAATACAATGATGCACAAAACATCTTATTATATTTTGTATAGTATTATAAACTACCAGTACTATGTAGTACAATACAATGCTATAATATGTCATATTATGCTAGATAATGTTGCACACCAAACAGTTTACAATTAATGTAGAGTTTTGTTGTGGAACCTTTAAACATTATGTTTTGCATAAGATTTATTTGATACCCAAGACAACAAAATTAACAAAATTTTCGGCTACCAAATTTCTGGAGGAACATTACCAGACAGATTGTTATCACTCATAGTTAGATTAAACAATGCCTTCAACTTCCCCAATTCCCAGGGAATATTTCCCACAAGTCTGTTTGAAGAAAGGTCTAGAAAATGCAAATTAATACTCTCCAAGCTCTGGTGGAATCACCCCAGTGATTTGGTTGTTGGAGATTTTCAAGCTGGTTAGAAGTTTACACTTGCCCCAATTCGGCGAAACCTCACCATGAAAATTGTTGTAGCTCAAATCAATGTAATCAAGATTGGGATATACACCAAAATCTTCGGAAATATTCCCAACAAGATTGTTCCTATCAAGTCGAAGCCTGGTTAAACTAGTGCAATTTTTCAAGCAGTGCCAGTGAATCGGTTGTTACTTGCACAAAAATCTTCAAGTACTCCCCCTTCACAAATATTTTCCGGCAACAATCCTGAGATGCTGTTATTTGATAAGAAAAACAATGTCAAATTAGTGAGATTGTTAATCTCCCGAGGCAATGATCCTGACAACTGGTTTCCATAAAGTGACAGAACTTTTAGGCCTACTAAGTCTCCCAAAGATGCAGGGATTGAGCCTGTCAGGTTGTTTAAGTTAACACGAAATTCGGCAACAGATCGGAGTTTGCCAAGTTCCGGTGGGATGGAGCCGGACAGATGATTGTTGCCAAAGTTAAGTGTTGAAAGATTGGTCAAGTTTCCAAGGGAAGAAGGAATGGAACCTGAAAGAGGTTGTTTGAGAAACTCAGCACATTGAGGTTTCCCAAGTTTCCGACATCCGGGGGAATGAATCCTGAGAAGTGATTGTAACCCAGGTTGAGAAATGTTAAGTTGGTTAGTTGATTGATTCCAGGAGGAATGTTTCCATGAAGTTGGTTGTCATGGAGATCAAGATAAGACAAATTTGGGAAAGCTGAGAATTCGAAAGCATCAAGGGTGCCTTTCAGGGAAAAACTTGTGAGATTAATCCTGAAAACACTTCCAGAATCGTCCCAGGAAACACCGATCCAAGTGCAGGAGGAGAGAGTTGAGGTTGAGTTGCAAGAAGAAAGATTCCAGGAAGGTAGGAGGTGGGGTTGTGTTTGGTCTTGGAGACTTGTTTTCCATCTCAGAAGTGCTTCTAGTTGTTCTAGTTTGGGTTGCTGAGTTGAAGAAGCAGAAGCATAAACAAAAAAGAAGAAAACAACATACAGCAGCAATAGAGAAAGAGATTGAAGCGCCATCTGGAGAAACAGTATAGATGTACAAAGCTGTTGGAAGATTTCAAAGGAAAATCACTTGAGTGAATGTGAAGAGCTGCATAATAATTAATAGTGTAGAGGAGAGTTTGTTAAGTCTGTTCCTGCTTTAATTGACTTGCAAACTACAGAATTTCAAAGTCAAGAGAAATTATCTTATTTACAATGCTTTTTCTCATCACATATATTTTTATTGGAAAATAATAGAGACATTGGTTGTAGTACACCGAATCTGTACATCGAATGATATGACAAAATCCTGACTGTCAATTAATTATAACTTAATATTAATCGACAGTTGGGATTTAGTCACGTTATTCGGTACACAGATTCGGTGCACTACTCCCGATGACTGTAGCATTACTCATTTTTATTTGACTCACATCACTTCCACCACCCTATACATTATGTCGTGTAATGTGAGGAGTAGCTATTGATAGCCACCTTTTTTTTTTTAATATTAAACAATACATAACTTTTTTTTTTTCTTTTTATAACCAAAGTGTCTAGACCAACTTGCGTATACCTTAAATAATCTCTAGTCCAAAGGTTCAATCGTCAAGTAATTCTCATCTCTAGGGCTCGTTGAACACCCTATTAATATTTTAGGTAAACCATAAATATGATAGGTGACCTAAGATGGTTTGAACCCTAAAAAGTCAATAAAATAAGCAAATCTTATTGACCACTAATCCAACTCATTAGGGTTAGTACATATCTTATTCTCCCATAAGAAATAATCTTTCAGAAAGTAGAAAAAAATTCGCTTAAACTATGTATTAAAAGCTCTCCAAAACCATTAATGCATGCTATAGTTAAGACTTTGACAATTATGCATACTTAATTTCTTCATATTCTATCATATAACAAACAGTTCCACATAATAAATTTTGGAAGGTCAATTAAACTTTTTCCAAAGTGTTGGGTCATGGGTGGCTCTACATAATCTAAATTTTTAAGTCACGTATAAGTTCATTATATGTTACATATTATTTCAACGTATAAAATAATATATTGATTTTATTAATTCTCTAATTTGCTGAAAACTTCTTATAAAAATTATGAGTAATACTACTCATATAAAAACATCTTACAAATATTTACATACGAGTTTATCAAATAGTGAATGAAAGAGAGAATTGAAAAGTCAAATTCATTATATTCATTTTTTTTTTATAATTATTTGTCACCTCGTTTTGTTTACGTATCTTTGTAAGAGGATTCAATATGTATAGTATTATTGAAAAATTAATATACATAATAGTTAATACAGTATTCTTTTTTAATCAAGACAATTTACTCGTATCCTCAAAAGAGAAGGATCCTCTCCTTGTTTTTTGGATCATTGTTTCTCCTTGACTTTTAATTATCTTTTGTAATGCGTCAATTATAACTTTCAATGGTTAAGATTTAATATTTAACTCGCTCACATAGCTGTAAAATTTTTAACTTCTAATTTATTTTTTCCTATTTCAAAATTTCCTTTTTATTATTTTTTTTCTTTTTTCTTTCTAATAAATTTAATTTATATTTTTATCACTTTTTCTCTAAAAAACTATCCATTTTTATCACTTTTTCTCTAAAAAACTAATGGATAAGAAAAAAAAAATAAATTTAATCCAATATATAGCTCTTTTATTTTTAGAAAATTCATAACCTTTTTCTTATATAGCTAAAAAAGATTATATGCTCACTTGAAAGTTAGTTCCTAGTTCGCCATAGATGAGCATCTCCAATAGTGTTTTTTATTTTAAAGAGCATATTTCATATAAATAAAAAGTATCTTCATTAATTTCTAAATATAAAGAACAAAATTTTTATTCAAATCTAATGGACTCTTTATTTTCAAGAAAGAGACTTAATATGAGAGAAAATTAATAAATAAAATATATAGAAACTTGTAGTTTATTAATTAAAATTAGGATAAAAAGTGAAATTTGACTTTCTAAATGTGAAGAGCCAAACTCACTCTTTAATTTATATTTAAAGAATAGAAATCTGTTGAACTCTTGTTTTATGGATAAACTCTTTATGATATAAAGTTTAAGTCATATAAAGAGTCTTTTGGAAATGCTCTTAAGCAACTAAAAAATAAATAATTATACTAAAATGTTACTTAGCATAATTGACTAATATCACACATACAAAATTGGGATCCCTACTTTGCATCTCAACCCATTTGATTGTTGAGTTGGAAAATTATTTAACTTATCCCATCATCCTATAATTAAGGAGATGTTGTCAAATTAATTCCCCATGGGTTGGGATACAAATTTTGAATTTCAACTTTATATGTGAAGCATTATTGATTCTAAGTGATTATCACATGATTATGTAATCGCCAGCATTAAAAATAATTGAATAAAAAAAAAGGATAATAAATAAATAAATAAAAAATCTAAAGATTTATTCTTGAAAATAATTGTATTTAATTGTTGGATAGAATTGAAGAAAGTTTTGTCAAATAATTGATTTAATTTTAAAGAATATAAAGAAATAAGTATATTTCCTTTTTGAAGGGGTCAATTTTCCCGATAAATACTCATTTCTAGGGTTGCAAACGACCCAAGCCGCTCGCGAATAGCTCGCGGACGAGTTTGAGTGCCCCCTCGAGCTGAGCCCAAGCCACCTAGTACTTGACTCGATAGGCTCACGAACGACCCAAAAGGGTATAAGTGAATTATTTTAAAGTATGAGGGGGTAGATTTCCAATTCCAAAAGCCCTAGACTCTTATTCTTCAACAGCCGACACTTCTCATTCTCTCCTTCCCTCTTTTCCTTTTTCTGTTCTCTTTCCTTCTTCTTCCCTTGAGATATTCTACCTCGGCTTTGCTTCTCTCTTCTCTTTCCTTCTTCTCCCCTTTACCTCTTCTACCTCGACTTTGTCTTTTGCTATGGCATAGCGAATTCTGTCTTGTTCCTTCCTTTTCCAAGCCGCATTTTCTTCTGCGAAATGCTTCACTCACAATAGTGAAGAATCGACATCAGTTCAAATTTTATGATGTTGGAGTGATTGAAAGTAGCAATTTCATAAATGGGTTTGTCTTGATAAATTAATTTTATGGTGGATGTGAGTCCATCTTCTGTACAGGGTGGATTTGAATTAAATTTCATTGGGTATTTTGGTAGATGGGTCGTGGGTGTATTGTAATTTTGATGGCACAAGCACAAGGGATTTTGATTTTGAATATTGTAATTTTGTTCAAAAGAAAGAGGAAGAAGTAGACGAGCCGAGCTCGAACCAAACTCAAGCTCAACAAATCATCTCGAACTCAAACTTGAGCCTAGTTTCTAGAGCTTGTCGAACCCAAGCTCGAGTTCGAGCTCACCTAATTTTCAAGAACCGAGCTTCGAACATTGTAGTGTTTGGCTCGAGTTGGCGCGTTTACAGTCAGTCATTTCCAACCCCTTTATGAGAAAGTTACAACACCTTTTAATCATATTTTAAACTTATAATTGCATTCTCAAATCTCAAAATTAACCCTATAAGTAAAAATCATGCTTTTTATTTTCTCTTTACACCGAATTCTCTCTTCCCAAAGCAAAATTTATTTCGGAATATTATCACCAAAATCTACTAAGTTAAATGTTTTAAAATCTAAAATAAAATCATAATTTTTTTTTTCATATTTCCAAACCGTGATTAAGATATCTAACCCACTTAATTGAAATTTTATCTATATCATCAAAGAAACAATATTGCAAGGACCTCTGTCCTTTTCTAAACAAAATTAAAAAAAGAAATGAATGAGTGCAAATATAGTTGTTTGTATAACAATATCCAAATTCCCTGCCTAAAAATCCCTACAAAAGATAACACTTAAGGGATGTTTGGGTGGGAGTTATCCCTCAGTACAAGAGATAATATTATCTTATATCACTTAAAATTATCACGTTTGGTTGTCAATATATATATATAATGATTCCCTATAAAGGAGTAGAGATCAAGGCTTGACCTTTTAAGGTCAAAGGAAATTCAAGTGAAATGACAAGAAATGATATCAAAAATATTGACCAACAAAATAATTATTCAAACCAATGCTTGAATACTATTGGTGAACAATTGAGTAGGATTGAAGATATTGTAGGAAAACCAATTCTAAAACCTATTGACATAGGATCAAAACCATTAAAAATTGTAGATTTTGACCATTAAACAAATCAAAATTTCAATTTGTTTCACTTTAATTTATTTCATTTTGAACCATTGCATATCTCATCTTTGTGTGTATCAAACCTGTTCCCCTCTAGTATCAAAGCCAAGGAGGAGACAGTGATTTAGGATTGTTAAAACTTTGTTTGTTGATTATTTTGAGTACCAAGTCATTTTGGGTTGTGTAGGGCTGTAGGATGGAACTGTTGTAAGTCCCTTGGATCAACCACTATAAGGAAAGAAATAGGAGATAAACAAGATGGAAAACTTTCCCAGATCAATGTCAACTTCCAGTTTAGGTACTAGAGATGAACAAATTGTTCATCAAGAAGAGATTTGTATAAATCAAAATGACAATATAATTGAAACAAGTCAAGCTTGTACGCAAAAAGACAAACAGGTCATAAGACCTTATGATTTGCAAAAACATTTTGATAAATGTAACATTCCCAAAACTTCTATAATAGATGTTTACAAAGAAGGAAACCATAAAGTCTCAATAGAGAAAACCCCTTAAACAAATCAAAATATATTATAAAATAGATGAAAAGATTCTTAAGGTAAACAATTCAACTCAAATAACTAGGTTATTACCTAATGAACTGGTTGAAATATACAAAAAGAATTATAATTGTTGTGTGTGGTTTTTCCTTCGAGCTTGGAAAATCACGAGGCTATAGCTCGATCCAGAACCAGCTTGACTCTACCAATTGTTTGACCCAGCATAAGCTCGACCTAACACAAGTTAGTCGCGACCAATCCTCACAGTTGTTCAACCAATCCATAGATAACCTCAGATCCGGAGAGGATCAGATCGACAACAATCTTTGCA